CTCCCCACATCACTCTAGTTGTTATTGCTGTCATGAGAGCTGCTCTCGACGTTTCTGTTTCTTTATGGGAGTCCCAGTTTTCCCATTAAATTGTCTCATTTGAAATCTCAGAGTACTAGGAGTCTAGCTTTACCCTCTCTCTCTCACACTCACTATTTACGATATATGAATTACTGTGCTGTTATACTGACCATATTCCCATACTCCTGGCCTCCTTTTGTTTGGTAGTGGATTACTATTACCTTCGTCTCTCTAAAGGTTACAGTTTACCTGGAGTTTACCTGGAGAGAGTTCCGGGAGTCGACGCCCCCGCGGTCCGGTCTGTGACCAGGCCTCCTGGTAGATCAGAGCCTGATCAACCAGGCTGTTACTGCTGGCTGCACGCAATCCAACGTACGAGTCACAGCCCGGCTGGTCAGGTACGGCTTTAGGTGCTTATCCAGTGCCAGCTTGAAGACTGCCAGGGGTCTATTGGTAATCCCCCCGGTAATCAACTGGGAGGCAGTTGACACTTATTGTATGGTCTCTTAACGTGCTAGTGACACCCCTGCTTTTCATTGGGGGGATGGTGCATCGTCTGCCGAGTCTTTTGCTTTCGTTGTGAGCGATTTTCGTGTGCAAGTTCGGTACTAGTCCCTCTAGGATTTTCCAGGTGTATATAATCATGTATCTCTCCCGCCTGCGTTCCAGGGAATACAAGTTCAGGAACTTCAAGCGCTCCCAGTAATTGAGGTGTTTTATCTCCGTTATGCGCGCCGTGAAGGTTCTCTCTACATTTTCTAGGTCAGCAATTTCACCTACCTTGAAAGGTGCTGTTAGTGTGCAGCAATATTCCAGCCTAGATAGAACAAGTGATCTGAAGAGTGTCATCATGGGCTTGGCATCCCTAGTTTTGAAGGTTCTCATTATCCACCCTGTCATTTTTCTAGCAGCTGCGATTGATGCAATGTTATGGTCTTTGAAGATGAGATCCTCTGACATGATCACTCCCAGGTCTTTGATGTTAGTTTTTCGCTCCATTGTAATCCCTGAAATCCCCTCTCTCCCCCTTCCTCCGTGTCCAAGTATCCTAGTTCTTTAAATTTCCACTGACTTCTGACCATCAGTGCTGCTACTTCTCCTCTTTTCTTACTATCTGGTAGACCTCTGGGACTATCGCATTTATTTCCGAATGTTTAGTTTCCATATTAGCTATAATGTCGAGGTTTTCCTCTGCTATTTTCTTTCATAACTTGACACTTGTTGGTGACTCCATCTACACTCCGAGTATCACATTCCTGTTTCTTTTACCTTCTACTGTTTAATCAACATGGGTGTTTTTATCTCTCTACTGGAGTGTCAGTGGAGTTAGTTTGTTCTACCTTCACTATATTCTCTCCTTGATCCATAGCTTTAAGAAAAGGTTCGATAAAGCTCATGGAGCAAGGAGAGAGTGGAGCTAGTAGCAACCAGTGAAGAGGCGATGCCAGGAGCTGTGACTCAACCCCTGCAACCACAGCTAGGTGAGTGCACTCACTCCCCACTTTCCATTTCCATCACTCTTCATAACACCTCAGGAGACAATTACATAGGTGTGAGGGGAATATTGTAAAATTGTACCTGTTCAAATTAATTGGTCTTTCGTTTTCATTTACAGCGTTATCCTTACTGATGGAAAATTTGTAGGGGAGAGGGTGGCAGGGAAGGGTAGCAAGGAAGGGCGGCAGGGAATGATGGCAGGGAATGGTGGCATGGAAGCGTGGGAGGGAAGGGTAACTATTTCTTCTTTTAAACAGTCAACAACAACATTCAAACAACTCACAAAGGCTGTACCAACTGAATACAACTTTCAAGTGAGTGATGACAGTGGTCAAGAGGACAACCACTGCCACTCACCCCTAAACCAAGACTGATGTTCTGTGATTTGTGCTACGCAAAAACAGTAAATGAAGTTAAGACTGACACTTGTCACAAGTGCCACTTGACATGACTATAACCTGTCACTCAACTGACCACTAACTCAATCATTCTCTACACGACCACGCTGGCGGGAGATTAATCTGCAGAATCTTGCATTTGCGGTCACAGTGGAACCCATGCTAACTTCCCTATGGCGTATAAATATATCTAGTTGGATGAATCTCATTGTAGCCAACTGGTCCAGTGACTTATATGATGGCCTGGAGTTTTAAGACTCACTTGCCGCGAGTTCAATCCCCACCGATACCGTGGTTTGGTTAAGTGAATCTTTAAAGATTGTCAGCGAGGACATTCCACTGCTGCAATCGGGAGTCGAGCAGTTCGTCCTTCCTCTTTGGCAGTTCTAAATATGTGGTAAGGTCGTTTGATTCATTCTGAATGATCATGTGTGGTTTAGATGTCTAGTTATGAACATATTCAGGATCTTATAAAGTTGAAGACACAAGTTAGGCAGCAGGTTCCATCCTCCTCCTCGTCCGCTGATTCAAAGGAGAACGAGTCTGAGGGTTCAGGAATGGCCTTCACTGAGGTACCGGGTGTATACCAGAGGGTATATTAGCATATTGTACAGAACACTTTTTTTCTGGCAAATTCAACCACTGGCAAAGGTCTGCTGCATAAATATTGCAGCATTTGTGTGTGACCCAGATCTTGACCTGATCTCAAATCTTGCAGTTAAAATAAAGGTGAAAACTTTCCTACTCACCGTAGTATAGCGTGCCTTTGTGATGACTGAAAAGCCAATTCTCCACAAACATAACGAAAGTAAGCTGCACTGTTCACGCAGCTGCACTGGTCACGCAGCTGCACTGTTCACGCAGCTGCACTGTTCACGCAGCTGCACTGTTCACGCAGCTGCACTGTTCACGCAGCTGCACTGTTCACGCAGCTGCACTGATCACGCAGCTGCACTGATCACGCAGCTGCACTGATCACGCAGCTGCACTGGTCACGCAGCTGCACTGGTCACGCAGCTGCACTGGTCACGCAGCTGCACTGGTCACGCAGCTGCACTAGTCACGCAGCTGCACTGGTCACGCAGCTGCACTGGTCACGCAGCTGCACTGGTTTCACGCAGCTGCACTGGTCACGCAGCTGCACTGGTCACGCAGCTGCACTGGTCACGCAGCTGCACTGGTCACGCAGCTGCACTGGTCACGCAGCTGCACTGGTCACGCAGCTGCACTGGTCACGCAGCTGCACTGGTCACGCAGCTGCACTAGTCACGCAGCTGCACTGGTCACGCAGCTGCACTGGTCACGCAGCTGCACTGGTCACGCAGCTGCACTAGTCACGCAGCTGCACTGGTCACGCAGCTGCACTGGTCACGCAGCTGCAAGGCCTCAATGTCAAAACAAACACTAAAAAGTAACACGAGTGCACTACATGACTTCAAGAAACGAACTGATACAATCCAGTTAGTAGGCTGATGTAATACTCAAATGAGTTGCGAAAAAGTGTCCAAATCAAAGTTGCACAATTGGTGCTCCATTCACTACAAATCTGTCCCTCCCTCCTCCCTTCAATCCAAAAAAAATAAAAAGTTGCAAAATAAAGGGAACAACTGTTGAGAAATATAAGAATTGGAGGCCTGGTCACAGACCGGGCCGCGGGGGCGTTGACCCCTGGAACTCTCTCCAGGTAAACTCCAGGTATCCTAATGGCACTGTAAGTAAGTTATGACATTCAGCTCGGCTCCTTGACTATTATTGATTCCGTGTCATCACTGAAGGCACTGGAGTAACAACACTGGACAAGCCAGGTCTAACATGTACAAAAATCAGAGAAAAACTTATAAGTGAACAATTGTTAGGGAATCTCTGAGACACTGAATTACTCCTGCATGATACAGGTGAAACACTGGCCAAAGTGACCTAAAGGAAAATAATATAACTTGGGTATATCTGCGTCAAACATTAGGAATAACGTTAGGAGGGAAGTAAATAATGACTCTGAATGCCAAAGAAATTCGCTTAAAAGCCTGAGTAAATCTTTAACTCGCTATAACATGATAATAATAAGCACATTTACGGAGCGACTGAGCAAATTGTAATGTGATCAGACTGACTGTTGCAGCAGCAGCCAGGTTTAGGTTTGTATTGTAAATTGTTTAAGAAACCTACAAACTGAAGAATGAGACACTTGTGCATTATCAAAACCAAGCGCTAAACCCACATACTTGCAACTGATTACCTTAAACTCCTCCTTATCTTCCACCGTTCTCTCTGTATTGGACTGAAGAAGCCACTGGCTACCGAAACGTTTCCTCAGTTAAGATTCCCACATGTTGCACAAGTGTCTCATTCTTCAGGCTTTGAGTGTAGCTAAATGGTACAGAGAACCGACAACATAGTAATTAGACACATGTGTAACACTTGGGTATCATTACTGAGGCAACGTTTCACCACACAGTGGCTTCATCAGTCCATCAATCTTTTCAAGATTGATGGACTGATTACATTGACTCGAGGTTGAGGGACTGATTATCTCAAACTAGTCCTGTTTTTCACCATTCTCCTTTGTATGGACTGATGAAGCGACTGTGTGGCGAAATGTTGCCTCAGTAAAGATACCCAAGCGTTGCACATGTGTCTAGTTTATCAGTCTTTGGGTTGGTTTAGCAGTCTGGCAGGCACAGATGACCAAATTAATGTCAAGTTTAAGGGCAGCCTTACAGCTACTTCCTTGCATACTATATACATGACTGTCCACGTATTGAGGAATAGAGGTAAGACAGTATAATAACCTATGTGCTATGTCATCTTATTAATGAAAATAAGATACCAGGCATATTAAGCGAATATCCTAAATTTACTTGTAACAATGTATAGATAATTTGTAGACATATATCCAGATGTATTCTTGCTGTTTTGAAGCCTAGTTTTTGGGCGTTGTGTATCCATGTGTACTTGCGTTACCGTCCATAGGATAAATATAGGCTAGATACGGGATGCACAGTCAAGCACCCACTTCGGCGGCAAACCAAATCAAATCTTCCTGTTTAGCTTTAAAATCACCATCTACCCATTTTCTGTTATCAGGTCACGCAGCGGGATGTTCAAGTGGATGATATCAGGCCATAAGGGCAGCAAACACAAGCAAGAAAAGCTGAACAACGTGGTGGTGAACAAGAACAATAACAACCTCAAACAGCAGCACGATGACCGGACACAAGAGAACACCATCTTACACATCAGTGAACCTTCAGACACTGCCTACAACAATCACAACAACCACCACCACACCAACAACCAGCAACAAGCAGAGCAACAACACCTGCAACAAAACAACGGAGATATTAATCAAAATCTGGAGAAATGTGACACCATCATTGCCACTCACGGGTGAGTTTGTCTAATATTTTTGTCGTTCTATAACTTATCCTAAATTAATAAGGGTAGCCTCAAGAGATCAAAGTAGCCTCATAATAGACGAAGGTAGCCTCAAGAGATCAAAGTAGCCTCATAATAGATCAAAGTAGCCTCAAGAGATCAAAGTAGCCTTATAATAGATGAAGGTAGCCTCAAGAGATCAAAGTAGCCTCATAATAGATCAAAGTAGCCTCAAGAGATCAAAGTAGCCTCATAATAGATGAAGGTAGCCTCAAGAGATCAAGAGCTCATATAGATGAAGGTTAGCCTCAAGAGATCAAGTAGCCTCATAATAGATCAAGTAGCCTCATAATAACGAAGTACCCCAAGAGATCAAAGTACTCATAATAGATCAAGTAGCCTTCAAGAGATCAAAGTAGCCTCATAATAGATGAAGGTAGCCTCAAGAGATCAAAGTAGCCTCATAATAGATGAAGGTAGCCTCAAGAGATCAAAGTAGCCTCATAATAGATCAAAGTAGCCTCATAATAGACGAAGGTAGCCTCAAGAGATCAAAGTAGCCTCATAATAGATCAAAGTAGCCTCAAGAGATCAAAGTAGCCTCATAATAGATCAAAGTAGCCTCATAATAGACGAAGGTAGCCTCAAGAGATCAAAGTAGCCTCATAATAGATCAAAGTAGCCTCAAGAGATCAAAGTAGCCTCATAATAGATGAAGGTAGCCTCAAGAGAGATCAAAGTAGACTCGTAATAGATCAGAAACACCCCACAACAGATCAGGTAGTTCCATAATAGACCAGGGTATCGCCATAATAGACCAAGGTAAATTCATAATAGACCAAGGTAGATTCATAATAGATTAAGGTAGCTTCATAATAATAGACCAGGGTGGCTCCATAATAATGGACAGTATCTGGACTGCCACGTCCCATAACATCCCACTGTCACACAGACAAAATTATATGCTAAACAGATACCACAGAGAAACTAGTTTGTTGGCTTTATGCTTTCAAGGAATATCAATGAAATGTTTTCTTCCCTGAATTTACAGCGTTAACCGAAGAGAAATCCACTATCCTTCATGAGGATGACATTACAACATACTCAGATTGCTCCACCTAATGCCAGGAAGCTATTTATCTGAACTATATAACTTGAAGTATCAAACTGGGAAGCTCCCAAAGTCACGAACCAACAGTTTTATCATTCCCATTCTAAATCCGATCAAGAAAATGCACTTCGCGAAATATGTCACTAGTTACTTGTGCAAAACCCGTGAGAGGACAGTTTCAAGACGTCTGCCTCCTCCACAGAGTTAAAACATTTGTCGTCGTAGTTACGTAACTGCTGTACATACGCGGGTGACGTGTGCGTCATGGAATAACCCTATTTGCCTCACCTTGGACGCTGACACTTCTTACACCACATTCCTTGATCTTTAAGCTGCACCTGATAGTGGATGACAAGAGGTAATTAAGAGAGACTGTTGGAAAATAAAGTTCTTCCCTTGCTTTAAAGTGTCTTTGGATTACCTTGTATCTGACGTGAACCTGCCAGAATGGATGTACGTAGACGACTTCTCTTTAGGATCAGAGGCTAACTATTTAACAGATCCACTTCAGAAGCCACATTATTATTATTATTATAATCAAGGGGGAAGCGCTAAACCCGGAGGATTATACAGCGCCTGGGGGGGGGATGTGGAAGGCATTCAGGCTTAATTCGGGGAACTGGAGCACAGATCCAATTCCCTAAATCAAGAGCCCCTCACCAACATCAAGGAACCTTCCTTGAGGGGGCAGAAGCCACAGAACTAAAAAAGTTAAGTTGGTACCCCAGAGGGAGGTGTCCTCGGTGTCATTTTATTCCAATCGATGCAGTCCAGTTATTACATAATTAGCTTTGCCGATGCAATACTGATTCAGACGACAGGATATGCTAAATATTCGAAACATATTTAACCATGTATTAAAATCTTGTCAAAACATATGGTTAATCATCTTAGCTGAGAAAACGACGATAGTTATGAGGTGTCTTGCCGGGAGAGAGGCGCAGTCCGCATGATTCACCTGCACGATGGGTGTGGTGTTAGCTGGTTTATGTGTCCTGATACAGATATATTTGGCTTGGGTCCTATGTATTTGAACTTCCTCTAAGTAGATTTTGTTGCCAATATAAAGTGAGGGTAAGAGCACTTAAGGATGTGGCAGGGATCCGCCCCAGATATTATGTAAATGTTAGAATTGTAAAGGCGATGTATTTTGCATAAATAAGATACGTAGATTATTATACCGCACTCCTATTGACTGGTGTCTGAAAGAATTCTCGAGACAAAAAAAAAATGCCGAATGCTATGAGGACCATTTTAAAAGTCAATGCACCAGTAAAATGCTTAACACGCACAAAGACTTCAGACCTTTGGAGATCTAGTCATTAAATTCCCTCAATGGTATCTAAATGAACAGGAAATACAGCGTAACGCTTACAAAGAGCTCCTCCCAACTCTCTTGAGAGCTGGTGAGCACTCCTCCAAATAAATTATAAAACAGCAACTGACCTCCAAAACGATTCGATAAACCAGGGAAGACAACAGCAACACTTACCTCTATCATGAAACATTACCACTTTCTAAATCATCACCTCTTTTCAGTAAGAACATTGTTAGTTCATAAGGCAACCTTCGCCGTGAAGCCTAGCATGATGACTTGAGTAAAAGAACAAGTGCAACTAATTTGACATTTTATTGTGGCAACGTTTCGCTCTCCAGGAGCTTTACCAACCTCCTGGGGAGCGGTAATTCTACCAATATTAATATAACATGACTTGAGTTATAGTTATATAACTGCCTCGCGAAATCGTAATGACACGATTGCAAACAAACTATACGACGGGCGGGGGTACAACCCCCGGTCTGGAGTTTTATGACTGATCGCGGCTTCTAACCCCGCCCGTGGAATAGTTTGTTATATAACTTTAGTCGCTGAGTATTCTCGTATTCTCTCATTCTCTCATTCTCTCTCTCTCTCTCTCTCTCTCTCTCTCTCTCTCTCTCTCTCTTTCTCTCATTCTCTCTTTCTCTCTCTCTCTCTCTCTCTCTCTCTCTCTCTCTCTCTCTCTCTCTCTCTCTCTCTCTCTCTCTCTCTCTGAACACTGATGGTTCCCTCCAGCAAGCTACTACTGAAGCAGGTACAGCAGTCGTCGTTAAACATAGTGATGCTTCCTACCTAGAAACAGAAGTCGGCTGAAAAGATCGGAATTTCTCCTCCAGACTGAACTGTTCGCAAATACTTCTTGCACTCATATATATGATCCTGAAACATTTCTGACCATCATTCCTAAGTACCTTAAACTCCCCGAGGCACAATTCTAGCAATGCTTGTGTCCCAAGCCAGGCACAGGAATTTTCAAATTAACGACAGGAAATTTCAAATTAACGACAGAGTCAGAGTACATCTTCGTTAAACTTTGATCTTGGAGGTGGCAAGGACGTACATTATGAACGAGAGTCGGTTATTATAGGCTGCCCACTAACAGTTTTATGATGACAGAGAAAGTAATTCAAATAAACTTCAAATAAAGCTGGGACAGAGCGAGGCTTACATGTGTCAGTGCATCTGTTACTTTCTCAGAACCACAAGTCTGTAGAACATCCTGCAACATCCTACAACAAATATCCTACAGTACGCTGGTCAGTACGCTGAGGTCAGTGGTCACGTGTGGTCATACCTGCCTAAGCTCTTGGGAGTTAGCGTGGGCTGTTACCAAGCACCATGGCTTGTTGTAGTGTTTTAGAATCTTGGGTTAAAGTGTTGAAGAAGGAGATTCTACTTCTTCAGGAGGAAAATAGGAGGCTGAAGCTCGCATAGATGAGTTTGGGAGTGAGTGTGAGAAGGATTTAGCTGGTAAGGAAGGAATGGTCGCCAGCAGTGATAGTGGCAGCCGCTTTAAGTGGCAAGTGGTTCACAGTTCAGGAAGAAGGAAGATGAGGAGAGTTAATAGAGAAGATGGGAAGGTAGGAAATCGATTCTCTGTTCTCCAAGATGAGTGTACTTCAGTGGTTAGTGAGGTTGAAGGTACCACTGATTCCCCTGCTAATCAAGGTAAGAATATTTTAATATTAGGCGATTCTCAGGGAAGATATATGGACCGTGCATTTTGTAACAGAGACAGATAGGTCAGACAGAGAGTGTGTCTTCCTGGAGCTGGTGTTGGTGACATAGTCAGCAGGTTGGATAATATTATGGCAGGTAATGGGAACAAGCCCATTATCTGTCTTAGTGCTGGGGGTAATGACATTGGGAAGGGCAGGAGAGAGGAGCTGCTGGATAAGTACAGGTCAGCCATAGAAGTAGTTAGGTCTAAGGGAGGGATCCCAGTCATATGTAGCATTTTGCCTAGAAAGAGAGTGGGCAATGAATGGATGTCTAGGGCAATTGGTATAAATTGCTGGCTAGACAGGTACTGCGAGTAACTTGCAATCCCATTCATTGATAACTGGGACCTATTCTTTGGCAAACGTGAATATGTATGCAAGGGATGGGTTCATCTTTCTGGGGATGGAGTGGTTGCATTAGCCAATTCAATTGAGAGGGAAATTGATGACTTGTCTAGAAATTTAAACTGATAGATTATAGAGGTATGGGTGTTTGTGGGAAACAATCAGGCTGCAGCATTAGGGTTAAAAACAGCAGTTATTACCGGGATACCTCAGGGATATGTTTAAAAGGCAATATTCAAAATAAAGTTGCTAGTAATGGCAAATCAACTGATCAGCAAACAAAGAGAGATAGTAGAGGGCAACGAGTGACTGGCTCCCTTAAGGTTTACTATACAAATAGTAGGAGTCTAAGAAATAAGATAGATGAGCTAAAATTACTTGCAAGTGTAGGTAATATAGATATTATTGGTATAACAGAGACCTGGTTCAACCTGAAAGATAGAGAAATGCCTTCTGAATGCAACATACAGGGTTATAAACTATTCCACACTGATAGGGTCAACAGGAAGGGTGG